CGGCAAAAGCGATGAACGACTGAGGCCAGGCCTTCACCCGATGCCTGAGTAACCCCACAAAAGAGCTGGTTGGCCAGACTTTGTTCAAGCAAGGAAGATCTGACGCACAAGATTTTCTTGATTAGCATCAGTTGATTGCGGAGAGTAGATATTCAGCTTAGGTTTCATGGATGACATTCTTCTGGTGTGATCAGTTTCATGGAAGCAAGGAACTTGAGTATGAACTTAACCGCATTCAATACCCTTTAGGAGGGCAATCGCCACGGCTTGGATTAGAGTTGTCGATTGCTTCGATCATCTGTGCTTATTGAACGACAGTATCCCTTGTAAGTTGTAATCTTTATGCTCTGCTGGTATCCGATGGGCTCGGGTAGGAGCAGTAGGATCAGCGATCATTGTTTGCCCGGTGATTTCTGCCAAGCAAATCGTAGTGAATTCCAGATCTCATTGCTTACATTGGTAATTCATTACCCATTCTACTGCATGAATAAATGCCATGACGATCCTCGCGCATCTCTTCTTTTTGGGCGATCTGCAAGCCACATCAGACTACAGAGTGCGCCCCTTACTTGCTGATCACATTCCAATAGTTCCACGCAGTCAGTGGACCAGTCACTTTCAAAAGCATCATCCTTTGGTGATCTACCAACCCGCCAATTGAGTATCAATTTGAAGATGGAATTCTGAATTATTCACCAGAATGGCCTCCTTTAACAGTCGAGTTCAGTGTATTCATGCCCTTTATAAGTGAGGCTTCTTTCATTGAGCACACACGAAAGACTTATGGACTTCGATGAAGACTCTGAGAGTGGACTGATTAATCGAGTATCATGGCTTGAGACTGGGATTACTGAGGTCAAGTAATTGAGCTCGAGTCCAAATTTGGTAGATAATGCTGGCAACATGCGAATTCCTCTTGTATCAACCGAAAAGTGTCGAGGCAGCCAGTTGAAGGCTTCTGATCAGAAAGTCTTTTGGAACAACCACTTTTGATAAAGATCAAGTGCCACTTCAGGCTGATCTAATGGAACCTGCATTGCGTTAGCCTCCGTAAACTCAGTTGCTATCACAATTTGCACTCACCATGTGTCCAGCTTTATCTACCGTGACAAACGCGAAGCGCTGTTTGCCAAAGACCCCGTTGGGGACAGAGGCAAAGACTTCCTTGAAACTCCCAGCCTTGACTTTGCTACCACCTACGCTCGAGTACCAAGGTTTCAGATCTTCTGAAGTAAATGGTGCCTGTCCATTCCAACGTAGAGCATCCGCCCACCTTAAGTTACCTGCGGTGTTGCACGCAAGGTCCAAGTTCCCATTGTATATCAACACGTCTACTCCATGTTCCAATGTGTACTTGATATCATTCATGACATTGCTGTACAGATCAGTGGTAGCCTCGAACGCGGAAGCAACTTCCTTGGATTCAATGGAGAATTTCAGGACAGCTTCCGGAACACCAAGAGCAGCCCAAGTGCTAGGCTTATTGATGTATTTCTGAATCTCGAGAGTTTGCGAGTAGCACAGGTGGTCCACTTCACAGATTCGAGTGACTGACAAGTATCAGCACATTGTTCGTTTGAGAAGCATCGAAGTCCAAGCCTTACTATCAAAAGGATCACGTCCCCCTACATGTGACTCGTTGTGGTACAGCTCCTTTATGACGCCACAAACTGCATTCGCAGCTTTGCATAGAACCTCGTCTGGATATCGATAGCACACCTCATAAATGCTGATACATCTAGGCAGGTTCTCTGAAATAATTTGGCAGCGGGTCTGGTTGAAAACAGGCTCGACAACGCCTGGCTTCGTCGTGCAAAGCGTCTCGTAATATCCGTATAGTGTGTCGAGGGGCGAAACATAGCCGTTCCCGATCAGGATCGATCGAAGTGGAATCTCAGGCGTTTCAGGGACCTGGTTCTGCCGAAGTATCTCTCGTGACAAGGTAGGAATATAATGCCCCTTCAAGATACTGTTAGAGTTAAATGGCCAACTAATTTTAATGAAAAAAAGGAACATACAGCATAACTCTCCCCTGCTATGTGGAAGGGAGTTTGTCGGCGTTCAGGGAAGACTTCCGTCATGAAGATTTGCAGAAAGATATACATATCTTCTGCAGCCATTTCGGAAGTCGTTGGGATATCCATGTGAGAATCCACATACGAAAGCCCTGTTCCTACCGGCTGGTCGACAAATATCATCGATGAGTTTCTTGTCCAAGAATAAGGGTTTCTCTCTGTGTGGTTGCCTCCGGTCTTGATACGACAAGGACCTAATTCCAGCATTAAACCTGATCCCTAGTTAGTCACACTGAATCGATTCCCTTTACAAGCAATGGGGAATCCCCACCAACCAAGCTGCTTACGCCAGGTCCTCCCGTCAACCACAATGTGAGCGGATCAGTCAGGGGATCGTCCAGGCTGTCAAAATACCCTTCCATCGCATGGTCAGCAAGAGTATGTGTCTACTCGTCTAAGAACTCACAAAAAAATATATGTTTTCCGTGAAATTCAAGCCATCCAGTGTACTGCTTCGACCCTGCGTCGCAGACTTCGTCATTCTGCTCTTTGATCCGGATCGAATGCGAAGGAAATGCAGGGCTTCTGAACGTCGTAAACGACCCATCTTCATAATCGCAGGAGAGTAGAGCTTGAGAGCCCTCTGTGACTGCTACTGCTCCCTTTGCAAGTGCGAATAAACCAGCAAATGGCCACTCTGCGAGCCAGCGTCTCATGGTGACTTTTCGGGAGGCCCGGTCGAAGAGAAGAAGAACAGCCAGAAAACCACCCGAAGAACAGGCATATTGCTCAAATTAAAGAATTAGCGAGCTCAAGATCATATGTCAGGATGTGTGTCTTGCTGGGTTGTGTTTGTGCCATGTTCAATTCGGTGTTGGCGCTAGCGGTGGACATTCCCAATCGGGTAACTGAGAACGGCCACCTCGTCGAGAATCGAGACGTGCTCTCTTTTCTCGCCTCCCACATCTCTGAGACTAAAGCCCTCTCAATGGATGATCGACGTGTTGTTGGCGTTGTCATACGATGGGAATCAATGTGGAAATTTTGCACCAATCCATTGGGCCCTATGGCAGAAAAGCTTAATCTGGCCCCGTGTCTTTTTGCCCACCTGGGCGCCTCCTGCTTGTTGGGATCTGCCTGTTGGGTGCTCAGGCATGGCTGACTCTGAACTTACTCAATTGGGCAATTTGTATAGCAAGATTGGGTCTACCTATCTGCGTACCCTGCTCTTGGTTGTGCTATGTGGCCGGTCAAGTCTGGTGTGGAGCCAGAAGGTAAAGATCAAGGGGAATCATCTGTGAGTGACCGCGTGTGTCTATTGATTTATAAATCTCTTTAGTCCAAGAGGGAATAGGCACTTCCTCAAGAACTCTGCTTCTTTGTTGCATGCAGTTCTCAATGTCTCGCCCTTGGGTATAAGAGTGAAAGCACATTTAGTCCTGCTCTTCATACAATTTCCTCACAACATATCCATATACTGATCATTATGGCGATTCTCTCCCTTTCAGGTGAGCTTAGCATGCTAGTTCTAGCTGGGCGGTGCACGCTCATTTACATTGCCAACATTATACATCTTTTATGTCGACGAACGCTGGCAAGTCCAATGCCATTGAGTCCAGCACAGATACTCTGGGGGATATTAGGGTTTCTTTCTGCCCTGACATGTGCAATCTCTTCCTTTGCCTCTCTGTGGGCTGAGGAGACGTCTGATAAGAAGTCAAGGATTATTACAGCCTCGCTCTGGGTAAACTCTGCCAATGATATAAATGAATAAGGACTTCACTAACTTCTCAGGTAATCATATCACTATTTCGAGCTCTCTACCTGGCGCCAACGCCTTGTCAATTCCTTTTCCTAAAAGCCGCAACATCTCTCAGTCTATCCATCTATCTCACAGTAGATGTGCCCCAGCGGTTATACCCAATGATATGGCTTCAAGTCCCGTCAGGTCCCAGACTGTCCTCGTTGGATATAGTCCAGCTAGTGGCGAGCTCTACATGTTCGGTTCTTGTTCCTATTCTCTCTTCAAACTTGAACACTTCGATTAAGGGTGCATATCACCCTCAATATACATGTTCGCTTCTCTCCAGATGGTGGCTTTATACTTGGGTCAGTCCCTTGGTGACACTCGGCTACGAACAAAACGGCTCCATCAACAAGGAAGATCTCTATCCTCAGAGAAACGAGGCTTCGGTAGAGACTTGGCAACAAGCCTATGCGAATTGTTGCCCGGAATCTTTGCCTTTCAAGTTCATTCTCTGGAAGTTGTTTCGAATGAGGCTAGCTACGATGGCACTATTTGCAGGCCTGTGTGGCTTCTTCGAGCTTCTAGGGACGATCGGGCTACATCAGCTTCTTCTTTTCCTTCAAAGCCCATCTGAAGCCAAACTTCAACCCTGGTTCTGCATCACACTATTTGCGGTGTCGCCGATCATTCGTGGTCTATGCATGCAGACTTTCGAGTATTTTGCTACCCACACAATAGGAGACTGGAAGTCTCTTATCGTGGCCGCTGTATATCAGAAAATGACGATGCTTGAGGCAGATGCAGATATTAATGTTGGGCAATTACAGAGCATTATATCAGTCGATATTGACAGGTTGGGTACACTTCGATACACCGCAATGACGGCATTCATGGTCCCCGTTGAATTCATCACGGCCTCCATCCTATTATACAGGGTTATGGGATGGTACTATGTCCCCAGCCTGCTATTTCTTCTTGTCACTAGATATCCTCTCTCCCGATTCATAATATCGGAACAAACCAAAGCTCAGTCAGCCATCGTGCGGGCAACCGATAGGCGGATAACACGAACAAGTGAAAGTATACGGGCTCTATTAATGATCAAGATACTTGGAAACGCACAGTCTTTTATAAGGAGGATTCTCGATGAGAGGAAGCAAGAGTTAGATGCTATCTGGCTGAAGATGCGTGTCATCATTCTCTCAGAAAGCCTTTCCTCTTCATGCTCCTTTCTGGCAATGATCCTCAGTCTATGCCTTTTCATCTTCGCAGGGAATAAACCTTTAGCACCGGATATCGTCTTTACGCTTGTCGCTGTATTCAATATTATTAAGAGTATGCTTACCTTGAGTGTACTTGGTGCTGGGCAGTACGCGCAAGCGATGGTGAGCTTGCAACGATTAAGTGACTTTATGGACCGAAAGACTTCCCCGGTGGTCACAGACAAAACCCAGCTTACGATGCAGGCTCAGAGAATAGACCGTCGGGTTCCCTCATGTTCTACAGTGCAGGTCCTCGGGGAGTTCAATCACACTCAAGCCAGCCTTGACGTCGAGTTTTCCAAGGGCGGACTCAATGGGATTACGGGTGATACTGGGTACAGCCATCACTATCTCCCTTTTCTTTATTGTTTTTCGAAAGACTTACTTACATCTGCAATCTAGGTCAGGAAAAACTTTATTGCTACACTCATTGCTGCTTGGTAGATTTGGAAACCAAGGCAGCACAGGGCTCGGCAAAGCACAATTCGAGCCGATTGCCTACGCATCTCAAGAGCCTTGGCTTTTCCGAGGCAGTATCAAGGACAACATTGTATTCGGGACTGCATATGATCAAAAGCGCTACGAGCGGGTCATTAGAGATTGCGCGCTGGAGAAAGATCTTGCAGCTTTCAAGGACGGTGACCTCAAAGAGGTAGGTGAAGGTGGCCGCAGTCTCTCTGGAGGTCAACGTCAGCGGGTGTCCCTTGCCCGAGCAATGTATACGAACGCAAATGTTGTCATATTGGATGATATCCTCTCGGGGTTAGATCCGAGCACCTTTGATTGGGTGGTGACGAAATGCATCTTCAGATCGGAGCAACGGAATCGCACAATGATAATGGTTACGAATAGTCAGAAAATACTCCAGATGGCTGATCTAGTCATCCACATGGAGAATGGCAGAATCGCTCAAGTTAAGAAGAATCTCAGCACCAAAAACAAGCAAAGCGTGCCCGACACGGACTATGTCGATTGTTTGTTTCATGATCAGCCAGAAGCCTCTGAAACAATATCTGCAACTTTTGCAAGTACCGAGTGCAGCGACGACACGGGCCCGATCTCTGCGGAGGCATCAAACGAATGTCCTGATTTTTTGCGAGTGAGCAGTTTGAGATATGGTAAGTTTAGCAGCATTATCCATTTCCAGGTAATAACCCTTCCAGGCTTCAAATACCTTCGGTCATTCGGCAGTCGGCCATTCGTCACTTTAGCAGTGATTTCTGCCGCAGGAGCTCAAGCCTTGGAGATCGGGCTCCCAGCATGGCTCTCGATTTGGAGTGCTATATCAGTGAGAAACGAAAAGGAAGGTATGGATGGTTTTTACCTAGGAATTTATACAGGTATGACGTCCCCTTCTGATCACATCGGGCGGCAAATGCTGACTACAAGAGCAGGACTCGGTTCAGCGCAAATAGCGATCCTGGCAGTCTCGCTGTTGTTGCTATACTCGGGTGCTTGGCGATCTAGTCGTGACAAACATATGGAAATGATTTCCGCAATTTTCAGCACCACTTACACTTGGATCTGGAATACCCCAGTGGGACAGGTAATCAATCGTTTCTCGTCCGACGTCGCAAGTTTGGACGACACACTGTTCAGGACTTTTCGTCCAGTTTTGGACACATATCTATCAATTGGCCTCCGAATTCTCGCCGTAACATCGCTTATACCACTCTTCTTTCTGCCCTCTGTCATGCTGTCTGGGTTTGCAATCTACGTGGGCTACCGTTACCGTTTTGCAGCAACCGCCGTGAAGCATATATACGCCGCTAGTCTCACGCCGCTGCATCACAGTATTGCGGAAACTGCGTGGGGCCTTAGGACAATACACGCATTTCGTGCCCAGGGGATGCTACAGAAGCGCTTCAATGCGGCAGTTGAGCACCATGTCCAGGCATGGAATGCCGTCAGTGACCTTCAAAGGTGGCTGGCAGTACGGATGGATATTTTCGTCGCTTTGATATCATGCTCGGCGGCAACATTAGCCATCTTGCGGCCGCATTCAAGTGCACCTGTTGTTGGTCTTAGTTTGACCCTCACAACCGGCCTCTGCACGGCTCTACTTTGTAGGTTCTCTCTGTCTGACTGTTAGTGGTTGTATCGCTAACTATCAAGATCTGGTTTATCTCTCGAGTCTTCTGGAAGTGGAAATGGCCAGTTACTGCCGTATCGAGAACTATATCCAGGAACTCCCACAAGAGGTTTCTTCCTCTAAGCTTGACGCCTGTGCAGTAGAACATTGGCCGACACAGGGATTGATATCCATTGAGAACTTCGGAGCCAGCTATGCATTGGATGGAGATGAAGTTCTCAAGGATGTCAACTATAGAGCGAATCCCGGCCAACGAACAGCTATTGTCGGTCGCACAGGAAGCGGAAAGACTTCCTTGGCACTGAGTCTGCTACGGCTGACGACTAGGACGCGTGGATCCATATCCATTGATGGCGTTGACATTGAATCGGTTCCAGTTGAAAAGCTACGGCAGAGCATAAGTTTTATCCCTCAGGATCCCACACTGGTTGATGGAACAGTACGTTTCAATCTGGACTTCAACAGAGAGTATGACGAGGGATATCTGCAATCCATCCTGGATGACGTGGCGGGTACAAGGAAATGGAGGCTGGATGACACGGTCGAACAGAATGGGAGAAATTTCTCACAAGGCGAGAGACAGCTCATTACCCTCGCACGAGCTATGGTGAGCAAACACAAAATTCTCATCATTGATGAGGGGACCGCTAGTCTGGACAAAGCGAGCGAAGGCCGTATCATGGCTGTCCTTCGGGACCGCTTCAGCGAATGTACGGTCATGGCCATCACGCACAGGTTACACAGCATTATCGATTTCGACCAAGTCCTCGTAATGGGCGATGGCCAAGTGCTGGAGGCGGGAAATCCTTGTCACCTTCTTGAAGGAGGGGAAAGTCTTTTCAAAGCATTGTATCTGCAGCAGTGTGGCACGGATGCTGTGATTAGTGGCAATCTCAGCGACTGTCGCCAATCATAAGGTATTATTTGCGTTGGCATATCCAAGACATGAGCCCCTTGGAGAATCTGCAGGCTATGCCTCTCCTCCAAAAGCAAAGGAAAAAAAGAAAAGAAGGTAAGCCAGTCAGAATGTAGGACAAGAATTTTGCATGGTGCGGTGCTTACCTCCGACGTACCACAGTAAGCACAAACATTTGGGGGCCTCGACTCCTAAATACAGATGTTCAAGCCACCAAAATTCTTGAGTGCTGGAACAGAAAGTCTAAATTGAGGAGCAAACGATCACTGCGTTTGCCTCGCTTATGTTTACGGGGGTAGAACAAAGAAAAAGGCGACACAAACTCGCTGAGATTGGACTTGTCACATTCCTTCCTTCGGTGTTCATCCCAGCCTGCCTAGCGTGGCATCTGCGGGCCTATCTGGTGACTGCAGCGTGGATCGTTCGCTAGTCCGTCGATCCCTTGCGCCTAAGCTGTTTGGCGTCCTTCCGATAGACTCGACTAGGGTTGTAGTTGGCATAGCTTGACATAGCTCAAACGGTTTCGACGTCCCAAGGGAGATGAGCGTGATCTTGTATAAGCATCAGCTTGTTACATCCCGTTTTCATGTCACAGAAACAGAGCACTCTCTGTCCGCAGCACTTCAGTTCTGAATAGTATTGTCCTCCCCAGTTCAAAGGCGATCTGCTCCATACTACCCAGTTCCTTTCCTTGTTGCTGCGATGCCCCTTGCTGCTTCGCAAGATAAACCTGTTAGAAAGCGCAATGTCGTCTCGCGTGGTCGAACCGGCTGCCTGACTTGCAGACGCAGAAGACTCAAGTGCGATGAGACGAAACCAGGGTGTAACAATGTGCGAATCTCATTCGGGTTGTTGGCTTCCTGCCTGTCCACTTCCAATGCTAACGGCCATATCAGTGCAGACGTATCAACCTTCCGTGCGAAGGATATGCTCAGAGGATTACTTTCAAGGACCAGACAAAGCTCGTCGTTGCAAGAGTGACAGGCAGGCCAGTAGGGAAGAAAGGGCGGTCGTCGAGCTCTAAGGATGAGGAGTATGACGAGCCAACAGGCACATTGCCGAATTCCAGCAGCCGGAAATCGATCGGCGTAAGGGGACCACCTTCTCCCCCGTCGTCCGAGAACTCAGAATCATGTTCTCCAGTGGAACCCAAGCAGGAAGATACGAAAGCAACTCCTCGACGAGATTCAGACACTCCGACCGACTCTGATCCTGAAATATACTCTGAGATTAAATCTGACCAAGGGCATTTAACGCCTGAATGGCCCGATGTTCTCCATACAGCCCCAGATTCAGTGATGGTGATGCACGACGGCTACTTGACGCCATACTCGCCAATGTCGGCAATAAACGCGCTCTCGCCGCGCCGTATCCTGTTCAATTCATCTCTCTCCCTTCTTGGAGCGTTTGAGTTTCCGGAGGATTACACGTATTATGAATACTCTGCCAACGGTCATCTATCGGGACTTTCAAAAGTCTTGCCTATATCAGAGATTCTCAAATCACAAGCCATGTCCCACCACGTCTATAACGCCGCCATGGCCCTAGCAGCTCTCACAATGTCGAGTTTCGAGCCATATTCGAGAGGCTCGATCAATCTACGCCATCACGCCTTTCATCATAGTCTCAGGGCTATCCAGGGCTTGAATGCAGAGTTATCCTCGAGCAGCGCGAGTCGATCGTGGAATCACGATAGAATTCTTTCATTGTTCGCCACAACCATGTTGCTTGCCAATTTTGAGCTTCAGCGGGGTGCCTTGCTTGCATGGCGCTCGCACATGCAGGGTGCCGCATTATGCCTTAATACCGGATACAAAAAGCTTATGCAAACTCCGGCAGGAATGCTGTTGATCAGGTCTTTTGCGAGAATGGCACTTTTGTTGCGCTTATACAACAGAGACTACTCAGTTACCTCGCCGGAAACTATGCCCACGAAATTGTCACGATGGCTAGATCTGCTTTTGAAGCAATCGTCGCAACTACGGGACAGGATGTTGTGGTTGGTAGAAGAGGTAACAGCATTGGAGATACAGAAACGTCAGGAGCCCGAATTGGATAGTTTCTGGTCTAGCAAGAGTTCGGAGCTCCTTTGCAAGCTGGATAAATGGCGGACGGAAGTACCAATTGACGAAGTTCCCGTGGATGATGACAATAGCGGAGCTTATCTGACGATATCTTCTTCTGATCACGCATCTTTACTCCGTGTATCTGCGCTAGTTTTTCCCAATGCCAGGGACCCTTGCACTTCAGCCGTCAATTACGCAGCGTATCTCTGCACGAGCATGCGGGCGCGTACGCGTTATCTTCCAGATTCAGGACGTATAGTTCCTCCTGATGCGGAGCGGACCGCACTCACCATATGCCGGATTGCAGCAGGGATACCGCCCACGCGGTTCGGCGAGTCTTTCACGCACAGCTATGGCATGCTCCCCTCGGTAGTCGGAGCCTACCGGTGGTCGACGAACCCGGGACTGCGCAACTGGGTCAAACATTGGTTGGCAGGTTATCGGGGGCCGCGAGAGGGAATCTGGAACGTTCAACAGACGCTCAAGCTTCTCGCGACGATGGACAGCCTGCCGAAGCCAGGTTGGCACTTTGTTGCTATGAAGGTCATTGACGAGCCGCAAGAACCATCGTCAGATCTCGACGAAGCTCATAGCAATGAGCCGTTCAAGGTAGTCTTGCAGGCCAGGGTCCAAAATGGAACTTCCACGAATGTCTTTGTTGTCAAGTAGTAGATTGTCTTTCCGCTGACGAAGGCGCCTTTGGCGAACAGTATATTGCGCCTTGTGCACCAAATCTAGAATCGCCATTGTCGCTGGCAATTGTAGGGCGTCCTGGTCGACGCTGCTGCATATCGCTTGGCAGGTTCCTAACAGAGGTCCCATTGTTGGACAATTCGAAATTCAAATTCTGGCGAGAATTCGTGACGTCGGGATCTTAAAGAAGGGCTAGACCAGTTGGGCACCCGGGTGTTATGCTTGATTGGGGAAAGGCCGAACTGTTCATATGACCACCTTTACCTTAGCGAGCTCCATGATCCAACGACACTTTCCTCCCGCCGAATCCTTTCGAGGATTTCAACGCCACTATCTACGCCACTACAGTCCTTTTTTCACTCCTGGTTTCTTCGTGCATCATCTCTATCTCTTCCGCTGATATCTCCTGTATTGTTACATTATCATGGAACTAAATCAAGACGCACAATTGTTCATGTGACGAGAGGACCCTCGCATAGTCGATTAAATACTGAATAGAGTGGGGATCGTCAGAGGTCATCCCAGGTCTTGATCCTTCATTGCCTCTGCCCCTGGACTCTGATTACAGCGAATCAAACGACAAAATTTGGCAAGCCAAGATGCATGTTACTAATACGGAATAACGTTCCATGGGCTCTCCCTTGAACAGCCGTGGGAAGTCATTCAGATTATTGGCTTACGGCTTGCTTTAAGCTCGCTGAGCGCTTCCGTTGGTCCACTTCTACAAGCTAGCAACCATTCGGAGATGGACCGCGTTTGAGACAACTCCTCGATCAAGCAGACACTTCATTCGCTGCGTCCCCCAGCTAGGCCGTTCCTAGCTTTTCTGCTTTTTGGCGATCAGCAGAAGGGTTCTTCAGCCGCTCAACTTGCTCAAGATCGGAAAGTTCAGGATGACCGCCGAGTGCGGTGGAGTAACGGATCCTTTCACCTTACTTCAAGCTCAAAAGTGGAACGAGTAGGAGGGAAAATCTGGCAAGCCTCACGAGAGGACAATAATACCTCTCTAGACAGAAAGAGCATAGAGAACGGAGACTACGCAAATATCTGTTTCTTGCAACCCTTTTCTCTCCACTTCGATCATTACTGCCCTGGCAACTACCGCTCCATCGCACACATCTTTTGATTTCTCCTCCATCATAAAGGTCCCATTATTGCCCGCGTGATGCTTCGTCTGGAATCGTTGAAGTCATATCGATCGTGATAGTCTGCGCATACACCGTACCAGCCTTAAGAGAGCATGTAGCAGCCAAATACTCAAACATGGTTGGGGTCCCACGAAGCACTGGGTGTCAGATTTGCATCAAGAGACGCATTAAGGTTTGATTCCCTTTTAGCTTACAACCCCATCTACCGACTTGATAACTAACAGAAACAAAGTGTGATGGATTGCGGCCTGAATGCTCTCAATGCCGTAAATATGGTGTTCAGTGTCCTGGTTATGCAAAAGTCCGCAAATTTATGGACGAAGGACCCGTGGTCAAGAAGCGATATGGGCAGACTGCAAATCTAACCAATGAGCACGAGATCCAGGAAATAAGAAGAGAAGAGAGTCTGGCGCATCCACCTGATTCAATCGACGAGCAGATTTTCCCTTCTTTAGCCGCAAAGTCGATGACTCGGCAACAGCCTGCAGTATTCCGTGACTTCGTCCTCACGGCATTTCCCCGCTTTTTCGGTCTAAACAAATATCGCGTTCATGTTCCTTGGGCAGTGTATGTAGCGGATGTTTTGGGGACAACTCCAGCTCTGGATGCAGCCGTTTTCTGCATCACGTCCGTTTTCATGGGACGTTCAAATCATGACGTCGCCCTGCAAAAGGCCAGCCGAGAGATGTACTCGAAGGCTTTAGTCTCCTTAGGAGGCATGATCAGACATGACAAGATCATGCGCTCAAGGGAAAGCGTTAGCACATCCATCTTACTCAGCCTATTTGAAGCATACTCTCAGACAAGAGAGGACTCCTGGGCTCAGCATGCCGCTGGAGCTGCTCTGCTGATGTCCATGCGCGGGCCGAAATCCCATCTGACCGGGTTCGATCGCTGCCTGTATCTTTCCTTTCGCAGCTTTCTCGCTGCCGCTGCGTTCATCGAGGGCAAGCCGTGCTTCTTCGAAAAGCCAGAGTGGCAATCCCTGATCGACAAGATCCGAAAACAAGACATGGCCGATCCACGAGCGAATGCAACGATCTCGGCCATTATTGACGTAACGGATCGATTATTTATGGAAGTCGTCAAGATTCCCGGCCTGATGTACCGGGTCAACCGACACCTCAATGCCTCTCCGCCAGCATCGCCCTCGGAATCAGAACAGCTGATTTCGAGGTTATACCACTGCAAAGAGAAAATACACGGTTTAGCATCTGAGCTGCGCCTCGTTGTCTCCGTGCAGGGCCATAGAAACACCCACGGTAAATTATCCCTCATAGGACCCATTCCGTCCACACTACCGCAAAGTTTCGCAAATGGCGTGCTGCGCGGCACAAAAAATTGCTTCAAAATCCTAGATCTTCTGTTACACAATCTCATGGTTTCTCGACACGACAACTACTCGCCTTACGGCATCATAGGCACCCCCGATGGGCCCGGGTCATTATCGTCGTCATCATCTCGTATATCAGCCCTGGAGTCAATGCCGAGTGAATCCTACTTCGACGAACCCAGGATCATATCCTTCCACATCGTCTCCAGATTTCGCGATTTTGACGACGGCGTGAGCTTCCCTCTGTCTGAGGGTATACAAATGAGTCCGGTGGACAAATGGTTGGATCAGGTCGCTTCGTCCATGGGTATGGAAGCCTTTGAAGTCGTCATCGAGGATAGGATCGACGATAGTTGTTCGAGCCTAGACGTGGAACCGCCGTTCGAACATGCCTCGGCGTTGCCAGTGAGAGAGAAATCGGTGTTCTGACCCTTGCAAGGACTCGGTTTCCAAATCAGAGCGGTTGGTTTACTTCGGCGGCTGCTCATCGGATAAACTAAATTCAGGGCGTTGGTCCCCTAATCGAGCCTGGAACCTCGGTAGGGATCCTTGAAGGTTCGCTCGACTGAATTAAGACGGCCAGTGCCTTACTTGCTCGATGTGCTACTGCACCAGTGTCCTACGATGTTGATCAGTCTACTCGGCACAGGGGGTCTTTGTCTGAAAGTTATGAACTGACTTTATCAGTCCCACGTAGATTGTATACACATATGCACACACATTCAACTGAATCGCCAAACAATCATTCATCGAAACCCTTCCTATTACCAGAAAGTCACACAACCACCATGACCATTTTGCGTGTTTCAGAGCTCGATTCGGTGCCAACGTCTAGATCATCTGATCGTCAACAATGCAACCATACGCCACAACGCACAAATCCAGACCAATCAAGCTTTAAACCCCGGACTCCAGCGAATAACCAAGAAACAAGAGACGAATCATTAAACTAATGGTAGCGCAAATGCAGCAAATTGATGACGGGCTATTCATGACTGGGGGTATGTAATATGGCCTTGCCCAAGACCAAGAAAATGAAAGAGAGGAAAGCGGTTGAAGAAGTCAGCCAGCACGTCGAAGGAAAAAGGATAAAGACAAGCAATTTCGTTCACTTGACGCGTGTGGGACTCCCTGTGCTACCGATTCGGCCGCTGATCTTGCGAACGCCTTTGGAGGCACTTCTGCTGTCGGTCACTCGCCGAGGGCTTGTACGAACTTTGGTGACCGAAATGGCGCCACTTCCGCTCTTACTGCTCAAGGGTGTCTTGGGTGCAGCATGTCCAGCTTCCCCCCAATTCTCTCTGTCCTCGTGGATGTCATCTGTCAAGGTGTAACTGGCAGTCACTGTAGCAGAGTAACTGACAGATCGCTGGCTTGGTGATGCCACGGGCGATCGAGAGGAACGCTTGGCCAACATGCGCAGTTGGATTTCCTCTTCACTTTCGCTGCTGTCATTGCTGAGACGGGAGCTGCGCTGCCTGGTGTGCTCTTCAGTCTTGCTCATGTCCTTGTCGACAAGGAGAGTGCCAGAAGTGGTGCGTGCATATGGATGATGACGAGAGTCCTTCCGGTGGGACTTGCGAGGTTGGCCAGGAGTTGGAGCAGGAAGGTACTCTTCGCTTTGCGTTCCGGCACCCTCGTTGTGGTCAATCTCTCCAAGCGCGGAACGCTTAGAGTGGCTATTGTTGGGTGGTGTCGCAATCGGGCCGTTGTTGGCACGTTGCTTGGTGGATGCTCTTCCAGGTGTAATCGGTGCTGGCTGCATCTGGGCCAGCTCCTCCTTCATACTATCCTCAAACCACCATTCGCGGAATGAGCCCTGATTCAGGTGCAGCCAATGTTGCTGTGGACCAACCACCATGCCGGGACGCATGAATCTCATGAAAGCGATGATTTCGTTGGCGGTGAATCCGTACCGGTAGATAAGATAGGCACCAATCAAGCAACCGGTGCGACCCAGACCAGCCTTGCAATGCACCGCGATTCCCTTATTTTTGACTGTGATCATCTCGTGTGCCATCTTGATGAATCTTCGAACCAACGGCAATGGAGGACAAGTACCATCTTCAAATATCATATCGATGTGGTTGATTCCCAAAGCTGTGAAGTATGACGGAGAGTACAGCTCTGAGTTCAGTCGCACAACGAGACCCACATTACGCGTTGCGAAATGCGCCAGTACGTTTTTGAATGGAAGTGGTAGCTTCGATGAGATGACCTGGGAAACTGTTGATGGCAACGCAGCGTATTCAGGGGTGTTGGAAGGGATTGGTGCAATAGGTTCATGTTGTGGGGAGGCGAAGGCGAGGAACTGAGGGGTGATCCAGTTGAAGTCACCCATGTCGACACGTTCGAACTTCTCATATCTAGCAAGATCCGTCAGTGTGCGCTCAAAAGATCATCCGTCAGCCGTATACATACTCTTCAAGGCTGAAGCTGCTCAGACTGCAAAGCGACTGTTCCTTCGCCTTCCATACTCCATACACTACGTCCTG